TTTTTTCGTAAACTTAACTGAGTTTAGATACAATTCCCTGAGTGGCCAAAAACAAAGGACGCGCCGAGAAGAAGCAGACCGGGTGGTTGAGATGAGTTTTGGCCCGGCGACTTGCCGGCCACGCCGCAGCCGCTGCTGAGGCGGCCGCGTATCCAGCTTCCGGGTTTGCTTTTGTCGCCCCCACCCCCTCTCCCCGCCCGGGTCCCGGTCCGGAAGGGTGTAAAGTCGTAATGCCACTGAACCTCCTTGGGCGGGTCCGGAACCGACCGGAGCCCAAAGGCTCGTGCAAGTACCCGCAATCAAATTGGCAAAGTCTCGCTATACCGTGCGACTGTCGGTAGTATAAGCTGGCTAATACATTTCTTAGGTATTAAATAAACCCTAAGTCTGTGTTAAATTGCGACTGATAAGTTGCCGGGTCGGTTTTTGTTTTAGTGCTTTGCTACAAAGGGAAACTGTTTAAACTGATGTCTCTCAGCCAACAAACTTATACCATGCCAGAGGAGTTGTGATTAAAAGTACGAACTTAACTTGCACTGAAAACTCAGACCAATGCTCGAAACTTTAGTACCCTCGCAGTATTTTCAAGGGTCTGATATTCCTCTATACCCGTGCTGGAAAATTTATGATTTTGTTTTGGTCGGCAGATATCGGACTGGGCACCTCTTTCCAGCACGGTTATTAAAGACTTTGAAAACAATGTAAATCAGGTGGATTTTTCTTCTTTTTATTTTTTACTATCAAGCCCAATTTTGAGCGCTCTGCAGGCAGCTCCTCCGGCGCCGTCAAAGGGCCAGCCAGTCAGCAGCGCACTCAGGAAGTTGGCGCCGAGCTCTCTGTGAATCTCTTATGAGCGCATGAAGCGCGCTGCATCTCGGGGGCATAAAGTGAGGGAGGCCTCCACCCGCAACTAGGCCGTGCAAGCACACCGCTAACCCTTCGCGTACACTCTCTGCAACAAATCCCGGATGCGACTTTTTTTTTCAAAACCCTGACTGTGCGCCATGATGTTGACGTCCCCCCAATCTTTCCTTCTGCCCGCAGGACAACCGGATCCTCCTCATCCCCTGGATGATCGTGGTGGCGCTGACCGCAATGGTGGACGTCTCCCACATCTTCCACGTCGTCTTCATCAGCGACGTGAGTTCGCTCATCAATCTCTTTCTGTCTCCTTCCTCTCTGCCCTTTTTACTCCTTCTGGTCCTTACCCAACTCACGGTGGAGGGAGAGAAGGTGGCGGCACGAGGGGTCTGCTCGCGGGTCCAGAATCTCGACAGGTTGGGGGATTAACGTCCTAGTCGGGGCCAACTGTAGGGCCTGTTCACACTACCTTCAGTCGGGACCGCCGTGCAGGTAGGTAGGTGGGAAGCCCATACTCAGCTTGCGCGGGACGGGCTCATACCTGACTTCTCTCTCGCACACTCCGGCCGAGCGGGCCCGGGCGAGGGTCGGTGCCGCTCAAGCTAAGTCGGGGCGGCCCAGCTGCCTGCATAGGCCGCCCCGACTGCAGGTACTCTGTACCGGCACGTTAGATAGCCCCGACTCGGCCGATAATCCCCCAACCTGTCGAGATTCTGGACCCACGGGTCCCTATGCTGGGAGACCCTCGTGCCGCCACCTTCTCTCTCTCCACCGTGACCCAACTGATGGTACTGTGGCGTAGCTCTGCGCGCTTACTCATACGTCCCTCTGTTTGCTACAGGCCAACCTCAAACCCGAGATCGCCATGCTGTTTACCGTCGATTTCTTCCTACTCAGCCTGAACGTGAGTTTGCGGTTCTTCCGTAAAACAGGGGGAAAACATAACTTTAGAAGTATAGCCAATAATACACGCAGGAAAGCCTGTTCTTGACCCTTAATTTCGCAAAAACGTTCAAGGGCAATATGCCATTTTCATACAAGAGCACCGTTTCTGGTGGACAGATCAAAAGCTTTTTCTTCTCTAGGCGTGCCCGACGCACCCCGCACCCCTGCACCGATAATACCTGCTTGCGAAGGATTTGGCTGGGAAGAAATCACGAAGCAGACACAACCGGTCACCAGGATTCTACCTACAGTAGCGTGTCCAGTGCGGGAGGGACAAGGTTTGCCGAGGAGGTGGAGGGGGACAGGGAACTGGCCATGGGGATGGAATACGCGCCTGGGGGACGCTCGGAGGCAGACATTGATTTATGCCCCAGGAGGTCTCAAGCCTGAGCAGCTCCAGGAGCAGCCGGGCCGGGTGGCCTGCTGTGAGGCAGAGTGAGGCAGAGCGAGGCAGAGGCAAATCGGCACGAGAGTCGGCGGCGGTGGCGGAGCGAGCGAGCGAGCCGCTGAATGAGCGGGGCGTGAGAAGAGGAGAGAGAGAGAGAGAGAGAGGGAGGGGGGGGGGGTGAGAGAGAGAGAGAGAGAGAGAACGAGGACGAGTTGAGGACGGTGAGGGACAGAGGGGGTGATGGAACGGGGAAGGACGCATAAATTACCCGCACCGCGAGATGATGCCCAATAACTTACGGGAGAGGGCTAAGCAACGGCGGCGGCGACGGAGCGGGCCGAACAGAAGGCCGGCGTAATTAGTTTAGAATTCCTTCTGTTCGCTGCTGATCTCATTGGGTTCGAGTCGAAGGCGCCGAGGCGGAGCGCGCCGCCAGGCGAGAGCCGCGGAGCTGGCCGTGGAGCTGGCCGAGCGTGCCGTGTGCCAGCCCCAGCCAGTCACACTTGACTTGACTAGGTTTTCGTGACGGCGCGGTTAACGACTATATTCTCCGTCTCTGCAGCAACGCACCAACTCCCGTTTTACTCATCAAATTTTTCATTTATTTTACACGGCTCTAGAGGTGCCCCCACAATGAGCGCGAGGCGATGCCGGGTAGGCGATGCCGTGCAGCCAGGCCGTGCTTGCAGGCCGTGCCGGTTGCGCGGAGCTACGCCTCCGATCTTCTGTATTCGCATAAAAGTCGGTAAACCTGCCGGCACGGCCTGCAAGCACGGCCTGGCTGCACGGCATCGCCTACCCGGCATCGCCTCGCGCTCATTGTGGGGGCACCTTCAGTATGGTTATAGTTAACCAAAAGTAGCATTACAGTATATAGCTATTAGAGATCCACAAAATAAATACGTATGGCCTGGTGGCCGAGAAAAAAAAAACTAAACAAGACAGCAGGGCAAAGAGAACAAAGAATTCACAGCGTTCTCCTCCTCTCTCTAATTTGATTTAAAGTAGGGGGAGCAAAGAGGGGGTAGGGGGAAGAAACTATTCGCAAGGTCACCGCCCCCTCTGGCTACACGACGACGATCTGGACGCACGCGCGCGCGAGGGCCTCGCTCCCGGCGCAAAATGCTGCCATATTTCACAGGGCGATACTGATGCCCCCCCCCCCCCCAAACCTTCCACCGCATCATCAGCGTGATGCCCCATTCTTACAAAAGGCACAACGTTGCGTTTGCGGGGGTGGTGGCGGCAGCCTCTCGTTACTGTCGTTACGAAGGATGGAGCGCCATTCGCCTCGTGCGTGTAAGGCCCACGCCTCGAAGTCTGGACTTAAGATTCTTTTGCTCCTTCTTTTGCTCGCAGCTCTACTCGTTACTCTGCGTCGTGTCGCAGTACCAGGAGTACAAGGCCGGGCGGGGGCGGGCCGTAGACGAGGACAGCTTCCTTAGGGTGAGTCGCGCCTCTCGGTCGTTTGCACACAACGATCAGCCTCGACAACGAGCGACCTTTCTGTGCAGTTCGCCCCCGTGCGGTACCTGGCGCAGCCCACGGCCACCAGCATCCTGAGCACGCGCCGGGGCACCCACACCACCGTCCACGACGGCCACAGTCCCTCGGGGGACGCCAAGGACGGCAACGGCACCCTGGGCGTCAACGGGTCGCTGACGGCGGGGGCGGAGCCCGGCCCGGGCGTCCTGAGGCTGGCCGTGCCGCCGCCGCCCTACTCCAAGAAGGTCGCGGGCGCCATCCCGGGCCAGGGCTGCGCGCGCAAGCACGTCAAGTTCCCCGACATGTGCAACGCCAGGGTGGTCCTGGACGAGGACTCCAGCCCCGGGGACTCGCCAGGTAAGCGATCGGGGAGTCCCGTCAGCCGTCTGTGTGTGTATGAGCGGGGAAAGGGTAAACAGTTCAACATTTCCGACATTTCCCCGGGTCAGAGCTGGTCGTGTCGTGTCGAGCCGGATAGGATGCCTACCGTCCAGGTGCCCCCCGGGGGGCGGGCGGGCACGTCCGTTCCGTTCTGGCGCTGGAGTAGCGCCGGCCGCAGGGGGTGTCGCTGCTGGGGGCAGGCTCGCTACTCCGCGCGCCTAGAGATGCTAACATCAGGGGGCTGTAACGCTTACGAGAGCGCTGGAAACGCCAAGGCAGTCAAGGGCTCCGTCACTTATTTACCTAACTGCCTTTAACGTTATTTTAAGAGTTAAAGTGATAACTTGTAACTTTTACTGTAGTCCTTTGGAAATAAGTCAGTTATCCGACTTGTCCAACTTTTTTCTACAGTATGTATACGATTAACATCGGACGTATTTCAAAATCGATAACTTTCACTTTTAATTTGACATGTGTTTTGTTACGGTGAGCATGTAACATCCGTTTGCGTTGTGATAAGTGACGGAGCCCTGGGCAACGCGTTGGGTGTAAGACCAGAGTTCAAGTTCAAAGCTGGTTACGACGTTCAGAAGCTCACATGAACTGAATCACCACAGGCTCGCCCAATTCAGGGCTCTGCCCTTCCCCCGGCCGTTCCGCCCGGGATGCGCTATGCACGCGTAGAAAAAATAAAACAAAGTACCAGGTGGCTGTTTCACGCCGCGCACTTTGGTAGTTGTACTGAACCGCATGCACGCGTGCTGGCCTACTCGCACGGGGCCATAAGGAGCCGTGAGCTGCGAGGATGGGCAACCCGCTCGCACACGGCCCCGACGCCTGAAGACGACACGACACGAACCTTACAGCACAACGCCGGTCCGCAGGGGGTCGTCCACATATTACGTCACGCGCTTAGGGGGGCTGGCAAAACGTGACGGTGTGTGACGTGGGGGGGAGGGGGGGCCTAGAACACCGTTACGTCACATATTTTGAGTTAAGAAAATACGTATTTTAGCA